GCTACAAGTCTCGACTTAACCTTAGTGGGCCATCCAAACTCATCTGCCTTCCAATCGAATACCCACTTAGCGTTAATTGCGTTCTCCACTAATTGCTACTTCGCCGGAGTAAAAGTCCCTGCTTCCAACAAGCCAAAAAAATCCCTTTGCATAGAGTCGCTCCACAGGTGCCGGTGCTCCGACGCCATGGCCTCTTTGTAGCTCTTGGGGACACGAAGGTCGCTGGCCTGGCAATGCGGAAGGTCAGGGCGTTGCTCCGGCGGGCGCTGGTCTCGCAGCGTGGCGTCGATGTCTTCCCGGTTGGCGAGGAGCGTGGCAAATGCGAGTGGAAAGCCCGCTCCTGCAGCCCCCGGGTCCACTGCTGCGAGTGCTCCCGCCTGCTCTCCGGCCCCCGTTCCCCCCGGCTCTCCGGCCTCCGCCCCCCCCAGCTCCCTGCGCTCCTTATCCACCGCGCTCCGAGCCTCCAGCATCGACACCAGAGTGTTCCTGTCTAGCATCGAGATGAGTCCTGTGCTGTGCCTCGTGCCCGATCTCGTACGGCTTGGCAGCCGCGGGTCTGTCATACCCTCGGCCTTTGTACCCGGGCGAAGCTGCCGCATGGCGTGAGCCGTAAGCGGGGGCATCGCGGGGTCCGGCGGCGGCGGCGGCTGGTCTGGATCTGGGGTCGCCGACGGTGACAGCGAAGAGGTAAAGGACGGCTGGCCAGGAGCGAGGGTCGCCGACGGTGACGGCGAAATGGCAGAGGGTGGTTGTGAAGGCGTGGGAGCGGGCGGCGGCGTGGTCGCTGGCGGCAGCGTTGCGGCAGGGGGCGAAGAGGCAGCGGGAGCGGGAGCGGGCGACGGCGTGGGCGCTGGCGGTGGCGGTGTGGCGGTCGAAGGCGTCGGTGCTGGGCCAAAGTTGATCGAGACGACCGGCGGCGTGAACGGGGGGGGTGTCGGCGCAGCGGTGATACCAGCGGAACCCCCCTCGCCGGCTGGCGCCGACGTCACCCACGACACGTTGTTGGTGTAGACGACACGGCCGGTGGACGCCTTGAGGACCTTGACGGTGCCGCTCGGGTGGTTGTCGCCGCCGTTTAGGTAGTAGCAGAGGGTGGCCTGGTCGTCGAGCTTGGTGCGGCGATCCTCACGCATGAAGCCAGGCTGGAAGCACGGCAGCACGCGGAAAGGCCCCTGCTCGCCGGTGAAATCTCGTGCGGCGAGCGCCGCTCGGGGTTGGCCTTGGTCGCCGAGTGGTTGAGAGCGTCGGCGGCCCATTTCGCCGATTCCATCCAAAGACGGTCACCGCGCTCGTC